AACATCTCAACAATTTGAACATTTCATTATCGTGCACAACTTAGGTTCGGGCTGAATAGCGATTTCTGTTTTGAATTCGATGACTTCTTAGTGGAAGTCTTGCTATCGTGAAATATGAATATCTTTTACTATATAAAATAAACTTTCTGAGGTTAACTGTTTGTTTTTTGCGCTGCTCCTATTCTTTCGTGTTATACTGAACATACAAAAAGGAAATATTTCTGTATATGCTGAACATTTTTAAATATTTTCTTGTATATTCACATTAGAGAATTGTGACTGTGATTATTTAAAGTCATTTCATTGACTTGTTGGAGTTCCTATAAAGATTAATACTTGAATATATGTTTTATTATTATCATAAGATTAATGTAAAAAAAATATAGACAGGTCTTCACGTGTAGCCTAGGCCTGCAAAAAAATCAATCTACTTGGATCACTAGTAGGTAGTAATCGATTCTTTATTTTTGTAGCAATTGATTGCGTCTGTTTTTTTCTTTGCTTATGGTCAGTTGTGAGAGTTAATATAAGTGGTAGATCGGCAACTCGAAATGAGTAGCTAACTATGAGTAAGTCTTTTTAAAATTTTAGTGTTTTTTTCATCGAAAATTGTAGATATATAATTACATGTGAATTGATCGAAAAATGTTACTGATCATGTTATCAATCTTTCGTATTTTCTATTCATAGTTTAGAGCAAAAATTTCGAAAGAAATGAATAGATATAATTAAATATCGTTCATAAGTTTGAATCATATATGTAACAGATGCTCAGTAAGATAATTGCACTGTTGATATTTTCAAAATTTATTCTGTATTTTATATCTGATCGAGAAATCTTTTGTTCTGATCAAAATATAGCGCTTGAAATTCTACATTTACGAAAATAATTTCCTCCATTTTTTTTGTTGAATCAAACGTAGTCGTACAGCCAAATCAACGATAGAATGTAAATTTTTTTTCTTTTTCGACTTTTTTAACTGAGCTTTTTATTTCATTCATCCATGTAGCCTTTGTTGTTATTTGATTCCAATTCATAACTTTAGTCAGTTCGTTCGATAAACTATAATCTAATGAATATAAACCAGGCAGAATCAGCGACTAGCGGTTCATAGCTATGAATGCATGAAAATGACCATGTACATCATTTTTTTCTACTGAGGTAATGTGCCGAAAATTTTGAAAATATTTCGCTAGCATTCAGTTTAGAAAATTAGTTCTCTCTTTTTGTGTAGATAAGCCACAGTATGGGGTGTGGGTTTCACGCCTATGATACGCACTTGATTTTAAAAAGTAGTTTTCTTGTCGACCTGCGTTTCTTCTGGACTAGCTGCTATTTTATCTTTGAGATACATATTGGTTTTGTTCGAACGGTTCGTGGACAACCAGGAGGTTTAGACTAGTTGACAGAGCCAATGCTGTTGGCCATTTTCATCCACAAAGTAATTGCTTGCTTTGAAACTACTCCATGTAAATCACGAAAAATTTTTGCTCATCCATCATGATTTTCATATTTACTTTTGTTACAGATTCTTGGATATCTTTACTTTTTCTCTTTTTTTTCGAAGTATATGTAACCCAGTTTTTGATTTCAACCAACATATATATGGTTTTGTACAGAACACACACCCACACATAGACAAACAAGATATATGTTAAAAAGTAACATTTAATAAGTTATTATTGAAAGTTTATTGTATTTAACTGACACAACTCATTAAAAGGACTAACTTATTACAAGAGACATTGCAAAAGCGGTTTTTTTTGTTGTTAGCCCTTCAGATAAAAAAATTTCCAAAGATACGTTCTATATAATGTTGTTATTCAAAAGTATCATCGTAAATAAGCAACGTACTCGGGCATTCAAAATGTACAGTATTGATGAATTGGTTTTTTCGGGGATCAAGTTTCATTTGGTGAGATCGATAATGACTTATTCTAAGGTATGTAACATGTAGAGGGAAGGGGCATGTTTTTATTGTTGATGAATGTCATATGTAAAAAGTTGATATTTTCGTAGTTTTTTTGTTCAAAACAGAAAAGAGTCCTATAAAATGAGGCTTGTATGACTAAATAATAGATTTAGTCATACTGCTATATGATGTTCAGTTATAAATATTCGTTGATATTCCAGACTTTTCATAGATGCACATTGTCATATGGAAAAAACGGAGAATTGAGAAGATTGATCTGTTATATCACGCTTGATTCTGTTTAGAAGGTTGTGTGCTAAACATCTATTGACAAAGAAAACTTCCTTTTTTTTTCTAAATCATAATGGCATGAACTTGATTAAGTCAGATCTTTTGTAAAAGAAAATATGACATGATTTATTTTATCTGACCTCTTCTTACATGTGAATTTCGATAATTCCGAAATGAGTATTCTTCAACGCACGGATTTGTTGATTACTCTATTATATATTTATCATTATGATCATGAGAAAAACTCTATGACTTATGACTAGCGATATTTTTGAATCTATTAAGAAAAAAAGAAAGTACAATATTCCAATTGTACATAGTAATTGTTCAAAGCCATTAATAAGTTCAAAATGAACTTATCGAACACATGACTTTGTAAAACTTTATACAAAAAAAAAAAAAAATAATCGAAAATAACTGCTGATGAAATGATCGGATAGAGTGCATGCTATTCATTCTTATGCTTAATGAAAAGAATCATTTTCAATTTAACTCTGGAGCATTATTCAAAAAAATTTCCTCGACTACATTAACAACTCAAAGGCAATATGAAAACGAGAGAGAGAGAGTATATCTTTAATAATGGAATTTGATCATTTGAAATTAATCAAAAAAACAAATTGATTAGTATACTACCTGAGTGTAATAAATGCAACCATGATAATGTAAAACACAAGCATAACTTTCTTCATAATAATAGCTAAGACAAATTTGTTAGTCCTGAAAAATTAAATGTTTTTGAAAATGTTGTCATAAGAATGCGAAAGATCCACATACAGAATAGTGTCCTATTAGACTTAAAAGAGAAAATCTTAAAATATGATGAAAGAATAAAAGACTTGCGAGTTTGAAGTTTTACACAAAATTCTAAAGGACTATATCTGAACCGTATCACAGAGCATAGTTGCTCTAAAATTAAATTGTGATTTTTAGTAGAACCAAATCAAAAAAGAAACTATAGGAGCACTGTCTATAATTAAAATATTATGAAAATAATTTTTTTTGTTGTTTTCGCTCTCGTTTTCGTGGATGTTTTTATCTGAAAAATGAAAAAAACCTATGTCTAAATTTATAACAATATTTAATTTCAGAACAATAAGATAAAGATGAAAAAAAAATGACTGAATGATCGCATGATTAATGCTTAACACATTCTAGGATCTCTCACTGAAAGATTTCTCTTCTTGTAAATCAGATTTTCATCAAGAGAAAATTGGAAACAAGCCGAAATTTGGAACGATGTTGTTTTTGCAAAAATTCAAATGAACTTTTCACTTTTTTTGTGAAACACGATCTGAAAGGAGTGTTGAAGTGTTTCGGGGTAGAAATTTGGACCCCCCCCCCCCCCACAGACCGTGACAGAGAAATTCTATACCCATCACAGACCGTGACAGAGAACCTCTAGACCCATCACAGACCGTGGCAGAGAACCCCAGAGACCATCACAGACCGTGACAGAGAACCCCAAAGGCCATCACAGACCGTGACAGAGAACCCCAGAGACCATCACAGACCGTGATAGAGAACCCCAAAGGCCATCACAGACCGTGACAGAGAACCCCAGAGACCATCACAGACCGTGACAGAGAACCTCTGGACCCATCACAGACCGTGACAGAGAATTCCAGAGACCATCACAGACCGTGACAGAGAACCCGAAAGGCCATCACAGACCGTGGCAGAGAACCCCAGAGACCATCACAGACTGTGACAGAGAACCTTCGGACGCATCACAGACCGTGACAGAGGAACCAAATACCCATCACAAACCATAACAGAGAAACCCTAATACCCACTACAGACCGTGACAGAGAACCCCAAAGGCCATCACAGACCGTGACAGAGAACCCCAGAGACCATCACAGACCGTGACAGACAAGCTCCAGGGATCATCATAGACTGTGAAAGAAGAGTTCAGGGAAGCATCAGAGATAATGCATAACTAACACATGATTGGAGCATATATGAAGTATTAACCTGTTTCAGTTCTATAATGTAAAGTAAGCCACGATGAAGAAATGTACACCAATATGCATAAAAAAGAACAATTTTTATAAGATTGGCAACAGCAGGTACATCGTGTTTCACATTTTTAATCCCGCAAGGGATTGCGCTAACAGCTTTCTCTCTAAAGTCTCTTTCTCTTCTCTTTTATTGTATCATTTTATCCTCTCCTTTCTCTCTATTTCAGTCTATCCATTACGTGGAAGTTTCATTGACATTCATCCAAATGCTAAATGGCAACAGAATGGTCTCACTGTGGCTGGAGGAAATGGAAGAGGCAATGAACTCAATCAATTCGGTATTTCACACGGTTTGTATGTTGATAATGATCAAACTGTCTATGTTGCTGATTTAATGGGTGCACGTGTTGTGCAATGGAAATTAGGTGCGACGAGTGGCCAAGTGGTTGTCGATGGAAGTGGAACTCCTCCCTTGTCTAACCCAGAAGATGTGATTGTCGACAAAGAGAGAGATAGTTTTATCACCTGCGATTATTTGAACGGAAGAGTGGTTCGATGGCCTCGTCAAAATGGAACGATTGGAGAAACGATCATCTCCAACATCTATTGTCGGGGTTTGACAATGGACGAGAATGGATCTCTCTATGTTATTGACGTTGAAAACAATGAAGTGAGACGGTATCGAAGAGGAGAATCTCAAGGAACAGTGGTTGCAGGTGGCAATGAAAGTGGAGATCGTCTCGATCAACTCGATTACCCACAATACGTATTCGTCGATCGAAATCATTCAGTATACGTGTCTGACTATCACAATCATCGTGTGATGAAATGGATGGAAGGTGCAAAACAAGGCATTGTCGTGGCCGGTGGTCAAGGAAAAGGAAATGAACTTACACAATTGTCATATCCTCAAGGAGTCATTGTCGATCAATTGGGCACTGTCTATGTGGCTGATTCAGACAATGATCGAATCATGCGTTGGCCCAAAGGAGCCACACAGGGAAGTGTCATTGTTGGTGAAAACGGTGAAGGAGAACAATCGAACCCACTCGGTGCGCTCACCGGTTTGTCATTCGATCAACATGGCAATCTCTATGCCATCGATATTATAGATAGTCGAGTACAAAAATTCAACATCGAATTCAATATTTGAAGGATTAGGAAGACAAAAAAAAATTGTTTCTATATTGTTAACCTCTGAACCACTGTATACCGTTAAGTGCCACCGAAATTCTTGAATTCTTTGAAAAATTATAATGAAATGCACTCTACTAATAAACAAAATATCTGACTAAACCCAGTATGACCCCACTCCGTTTCACTGCAAGGAATCCGAAACTTTGGAAACCTCGAAAAATTTCGAAATTTCGTATTCATTAAAAATCAATCAAAGTCATTAAGAAACTTGAGGATGTGGATGTGGTGGGTGTGAGTGTAACAAATAAGGATACTCATACCCATATCCACACTGACACTCCACACCGGCACCCACACCCACAGCCTCTTTTCGATAATGACGAACTAGTCGATTTGAGCAGCTGACCATCGATGCGGGCAAGTGATCGATAATCTATTAAATCAACACGACTGTTAATAAAAATACGATTCGTATCACTGCCGAGCAACCATCGACGAATGCGATAGCGTATAGAATTCCATGGTAATCCAGTAATAATTATAAAATTGACTCGCTCAGAAGGTGTTCCTAGGAGCTCGCAACATGGGCAGAGCGATTGTGACATGGATTTTATCTAGAGAAGTAAATGAATTTTGACAACTATCGATCATTGAAACTATTGAGAAACGTGAAGGTGTGAATAACTGCAGTATGGGGGGAGAGGGGGTTGAGGCAACTAAAACCGTGTATTACTCTCGTTAAAGAAAAGTACCTTACTCTGAGCAAAACTGAATCATGTGTTTTCCTGCACTCTCACCATCATGATCTTCTCTCTGAACACGCATCTGCTGTCAATGTCGGTGATTCGATTCAAGTATGTTTCGACCCTTTATCATTTATCGAAAACTTTGCTATCAAATGCTAGGAAATCTCCGTATGACTCAAATAGAATCTGCAGACCTCTTGATTATGTAGATATTCGACCTCCTTGTAGTAAGCCTACAAATTACTGAGAACTATGGACGATATGCAGGCAATATGTCATCTTGAGAAATATTGTCTCGGCTTTGCTTTTACCACACGGTTATCTAGGAGCCATTGCAGGTAAGCCACGACCAACCCCAGTATACCGATGTTCGATGAATATCTCCAATTTGGCTGAAACTTTAACAATAAATAGGTCTAATATAGTTAGGAAGAAACTAAAAATTTCAGCTCAAACGGATGAGCTTTTCTCGAGATAGAGGCATTCCAATTCATAGGAGGTAGAGCACATTCCGACCATTTTTCGATGCTGTCCTTCTCAGTACGTTTTGATTTTCTAAATAAAGACGGCAATAGGTATCGAAGTGACTTCTTTTACCATAGATACTATCGATCATAGGCTATCTTATGGTGGTATTAAAAGTTACGTCTCATAAGCTTTTCCCGAATCAAATTTCAAAATTGAACAAGATTCAACAACATTCATCAATAAAATTCGTCTTACAAGGAAAGATAAAATCGTACGTTTGAGTAGAAATCGAAAAAGTTTTTCTTCTCAAATGAAAAAAAACAATGAGCGACAAGATTTTCTTGTAAAATCTTCAATGTTGAATAAGAATATCAATAGAACAGTAAAAACAACAAATCGATATCATCTTAAGAGAAAATATTTAGAAAAAAAAACATTGAGAAATCTTATTCATCTTTATCGAAGAACAAATTAGATTTAGTCAATATTCGAATTTTTCATTGTGGTGAACGAAAAATAAAGCAAAGAAAATCATGAAATCTTCAATTTTGAGATGTAACGACTCAAAACACAACACAAAAAAACAAAATTTGTCAAGTTTCTAAGATAAATTTTTGATCCGGTTTAATGATAATAAGATTTTTCGGCTATTTACAGAAAAAAAACTCTTTAAGACAATATCAAATATGAATATTACAAAAGTATTCATAAGAATATGATAGATTTTTTTTTCAAAATGCAATAAGATAAAAATAAATCCTAATCTCAGAACTATTAAAAAATGATTCAGCTCATTTATTAACTTTTCGTTATGAAATCAAACGAAATGAAAATAACGAACTTTGATTGTATCATTTATGTTTGAAATAAATTCGCTCTACAAAAGAACATTTTAGATAAGTATAAAAATCATTCTTTGAACAGATCATATATATCTTATTTAATGTATTTCCATTCAATACAAATCATATATTGTTGAGTCATTCGATTGTTTTTCCATCTGATTACTTCTTCAATCCATCGAGCATTCATCAAAAATAATAAATCATTAAAAAAAAACAAAGATTCTTCTCTAACCTTTTTTTCTATTACTTTTATTCTAAAATAGAGTTGTTCCAAACGAAAATCAAATCAAAATTGTTAATGATTGTTCATAAATGTGTCTCGAATTGTTCGAGAGAAATATTTTTCTTTTAAATTTGATGATTTAAAGTTTATTCATATTTGAAAAGATTTGAACAAAATCATCGAAGACTTTTGAAGTTCTTCTACATTAATTTCATTAAAAAAACAACAAATCGAATATTAACATGTCTCAAAATCAAATGATACATTTTGATTTTAAGCGATGTATTGATTGATTCTTTGTTAACTCTTTAAGTGTCATGACGCTGTCTATAAGAGAAAATTCTATAATTTTTTATATTTCAGATATTCATAGTGCAATATTAAGACTTTCCATCTAAAAAAAAAAGTCATTTTACGTCAGAATGGTTGAAAGTAAGATAAACGCATGGGAAGATAATCTGCGATCTGATCTTTTATAAACGACAAAAATTTTTGAAGATTTCTATCATTTCCTATTCGAAAAATAAGCTGTCTTTAGAAAAAACAGAAGTTTTTCTTTCTCATTTCATAATATGTCGAATGCGCAAATCCAACTTCTCTGTCCAGATTCAAGTATACATGAACCTGGACAGAGAAATTTGGTTTGCCAAATGAGCTATTTCTGATCCTTATTTGACCAATAGCTCCTTCAAACGTCTTGATATCGGGCTGAAAATTTTACCACAGCTTCTCCACTGCAGCCCCAACATATTCCAAAAATTTCATGCCATTTGAGTGTTCCTGGGCGGAGATGGATTTTTGAGAGAGAAGGTCTTAATATTTTCATCAAAGCTTTTAAATGAAAAATCTTTAAAATCATTTTTGGTCCATACTCATACTCATCCTGCGAAGATGACGAAGTATTTTGGTTATCCTCGTGGAGGAGTATGGATGTGGCTCAAAATTGAATTGAGAGTTGTTGGCAAATCAACCTTTGGAATATTACCAGAAGTCACTGTTAACTTGATTCCAATACAGAAAATCGAAATATTTTGCGGATCGCAAAAGGACATTATCCTCGTTTCTTCTTTTTAGAATAGAAGTGATATTTTAAAGATCCATCAGGCTTACTACCTGAGTGACCTCATTAGGGTGATAACTCTTATACAGATGTATGCACCGAAGTCTCTCCTATGTCACTGTGAAAATCACACTTCGATATCGTTTCGCGTTCGTGAGTTATTCAAAAATTTATGACTAACAGACAAAATACAAATAATAGAAATTTTTTTTATTTTCAACAATCATTATGAGAAATTTCGAAAGTTGATTCTTTTCATTCTCAAATGATATTTATGGAAAATCAAATAAATTATTCATTTTGACTTTTTTGTAACAATGAATAATCGTGTCAAGTATTTCAAAATTTCTGTTTTCTCATCTTTAAAACTGTAAATAATGAGAAAAAGTTTTAAAGAAACTTTTCTCTCAACAATTTCCTCATAAATGAAGTTTTTATCTCATTGATTTATTTTTTTTACATTAAAATCAAACTGAATGAAAATTCAGAGTATTTCGTTGATTTTCAATTGTTTGTTCGCCAAAAAAAACATTTCTTATTTCATCAATGAAAAATCATTTAGATAAATTATTAAATGAACTTCGATTTCTTATATTGTTTTTATTAGACTAAGTTGATTTCTCTTTCGTGAAATAAAAATTTTTTAAGTGAAAAGTTTGATTAAATTGATTTTCATCGTCTAAAATTATTTTTAATCATTATTTATTTCATAAAAATGTCATTGTTAAATTTTCATTATTATTTAGGAAGTTTTTTTATCGAATTTTTTTCAAAAGATAAAAAAGTCTTTTGACAATGATAAAAATGACAAGAAAATTCAAACATTCAAAACTTAATCTTCATTTAATAGAACAATTCTCACTTTTCTTCATTCAAAATATCAAAACAATGAGAATTTGTTTAATTTAATCATTAATTATTTTAGCAACACTTTTACGCAGTGCCAATGTTAATGCAGATGTTAAATGGATACGAAATGGAATTGCTATAGCTGGAGGAAATGCGTCAGGTAATGCAACAAATCAACTCTGCAATCCATATAGTTTGTGTATTGATGATAATCAAACTGTCTACATTGCTGATTGTTGAAATCATCGTATTATAGAATGGAAATGGAAAAGGAAACCGTTCTGATCAGTTGAATGGTCCAAGAGATGTGATTATTGATAAAGAAAAAAATAATCTTATCATTTGTGATTATGACAATAAAAGAGTAGTTCGATAGTCTCGTCAAAATGATAAAAATGGAGAAATAATCATCTCAAATGTTGGATGTTATGGGTTGACAACGGATGATGATGGATTTCTCTATATTGTTGATCGAGATAAACATGAAGTTAGACGATATCGAATAGGAGAAAATCGAGGAACAGTAGTTGCAGGTGGAAATTGTCTCGATCAGTTATCTGCTCCCAGATACATATCCATCGATCGTGATCATTCAGTGTATATATCAAAAGAGTCTAACCATCGTGTAATAAAATAGATGAAAGATGAGAAACAAAGCATTGTTGTAGCTGGTGGGTAAGGTTAAGAGAATAGTCTTTCACAATTATCGAATCCTTAAGGAATTACTATAGATCAATCAGGTACTGTTTATGTAGCCGATCATTCGAATCATGCGGTGATCTCGAGAAGCTACACAAGGGAATGTTATCATTGGGAGAAATGGTAAAGGAAGTCAAATGAATCAACTCTTCCTTCCCACTGATTTATCATTTGATGGGGAGGGTAATCTCTATGTGTGTGATCGAGATAATCATCAAATACAACAATTCAACATTAATCAAAATTGATAGTTTTTGAGAATGAATATTATTTTTAAACTTTTCATTATAATCTTCAATAATTAATCGAATCACAAAAAACCAAATCAAATAAAATTCATTTTTGTTAATTTGGTATCAAAGGTTTTTTTAAAATGAATATTTTGATATTATTTAAATATTTTCTGCGCATGACTAAAGAATCGAGAAATATCGAAATTTATCCTTTAAAATAGACAAATATCAATGATAATTTCAACTTTAATGTATTGAACAAAGGGAAAATTCTCTATATTTAGTTAAAAATAATATGAAAGAAATGAAATTCATCAAGTTAAAAAATTAAAATAATCAATTAAAAAAAGAATTGTTATATTCAAAAGATAGAATTTATCAAAAAAGAAAACAGATTTTTTTATTCTCGATTATTAATTTTGATATGAAAAACAGTAATAAAGAAATATCATGTCGAATATTCTTCAAAAAACTGAAGAAAAAAAACACACACAACAATATTTTATCATTAAATCAAATTTCAAGTCACATTATAATCTGATCAACTATTTGTTTTATTTGATTATCAATTAAATCTTTACGAGATTTTCAACAGATAAATGAAAAAGAATTCATATCGACCTAAAAAAGAATCATCTTACTCGATTATTGTTCCAACAAGAAAAAACGATTCATTTGCAAATTTGTGATCAACGACAGTTAAATTGAAACTAGAAGTCAAGCAACATACATCACGAAAACAACAGTAATTGCTAGTAGATCAGAATGACTTTTTCAAGCGATTTGTCACCGTACTACAACATAAAATGAAATTTTCCACTCAATATTTGAGCAAGTTCCAGTAACAAATAGCAAATTGCGGAAATTATGAAAATTTTAATAATTTCTTTAAGATTAATCTACATAGACTAAGGAATAAATCCATTGAAATAGAAAACTCCATCCTCCAAAAGTATTAGAGTTTTCAGATATGTTTCTACTTCCTAGGAAATTAGAGAAAGGATATGTCATTAAGCAATGAAATTAGCCCATTCTAGAAACTGAGGTCATTACTTCCCCAATAGTCCGTTATCGTTCGCATTAAACCGTTCGACTTCATTTCGACTGTGTGCAACTTACTCAAAACTCGATATTATTGATATCTTGTAGAGTTATGCAATGGTATGTTTATATGAAAAGTTTCTTTCCCTTCTTTAATTCCTTTAATTTGACTAATATACCAAATAGCACATGCGAATGAAGCCAAATATTGTTCTTTTGTGGAACTCATGTATATTTTCGAAGAAAATAGTGAGTGTAAGTTTTAAGTTCGAGGTTTGACGGCTCCCCCCCCCTCCCCTCCCTTCCATTACAGACTTTAGCGATGGAGAATAAAAGGTGTCAGATTTTCTAGAGTTTGAAAAATTGCTCAAGTTATAATTTTGAAGATTAGTCAATATCATTGTTTGTGAGTTGGTTAACATATATATAATAATGCATAAGATGTACTGTAGATATCATGGGTATGCAAAATAGACCTATTTGCCGATTCAATGATTATAATAATAAGAATATTAAATTAAAAAAACACGAATAAAAAATAAAAAATAAAAAATAATGAGCGAGTAGCAACAATGCAAACAAAAAATAGGGCGCCCGTAGAAAAAAAATTTCTATTTTAAATACAGAAATAAATGTAGAAATAAATAATAAATTCTCGCTCTTGTCATCGATTATTAGTGAAAACAACTATAGTCGACGAGAATTTTTTCAGTTTACGGATGATGTGTTAGGATAACAAGGTTGAAGGATATACGTGAGTTCCACATTTCAGCTCTGAAGGAGCTGTGCTAACAAGCTTTTAGATTGAGAGAGTCCCAAGTCATTTTATACTTTTATCAAATGAATCTAAGCTAGATATCTCATTCAAATGAGAATCTATTCTTTCTTATTAAAATATAGTTGAAATGTCAACCTGATTATCGGCACGATCTTGAGTGTGTACATGTAGTTGGAATAATACCATTGTGTGGGATGTGCGTATAAATATTGAGTTACTCAAGATTTACATCCACGCCTTTTTAATAGTTCTGCTAGTTCAGGGTGTGGGTGTCTTGAAGATAGTATTCATACCCACACCCACACATTTCCACACCTTGCTAGAAATTTAATTAACTCGAATAGGTTTTTTCAATGTTCTAAATAGCACAATTTCTGATTTGTACACAATACACGATTATATTCAAGATAACAAAGATGATAGATAGTGAAGTATTGATTTGCCTCAGTCTTCATATGAATAAGCATAAAAAGCATGCACTAATCAAGTATTAACGTTCGAAAATACTAGATATTACTTTTTTCAGATTACTGAGATGCATAATTAGCACGATGAGATCTATTGCCGATATAATGCATGTGTAGAAACAGCTGTTTTATCAAATAAATCATTGGTTATAGAAATAAAAATAATAAGAAATTAAGATAAACAAAATAAAAAGAAGCAAATAAATAATGAGCGAACAGCAACAAGCCGATAACAAATAGATCGCCAGTGTAAACAATTAAAGAAAAAATTTGTCTTTAAAATACGAATATAAATAAGACAGATGGTTTCTCTGACGGTCGATTATTTTTAGAAATCAACTATCATTTATTACATATTATTTATTTTTCGTATTTTTTGTTAATATAACGACGCTTCAGATGTGTGAATTCTACATTTCAACCCCAAAAAGGCTGCACTAACAAGCTTTTACAATAAAAAATTTCATTTTCATTGGTTAGAAAACAATTCATATCATCTTTGTAAAAATAATTTTAAACTTCAACAAAGAGAAGAATACCAATTCGAAGACTAAAAAAGATTTAGATTATCATATAATTTATTTGGCATAAAAGTAAAATTCTTAGTTTAAATACTTTTTTTATTAATCAAAGATAACGCATAGAGAGAGGAGGGAGAAAACATTATTGCACGTGCATATATATATATATATATATATACATTCTTTTTCGTTATTCTCGATCAGTATCATCGTTATTTCTTATTGTAAACATGGAACGAACAAAACGGCAATTAGATGACATTGTTCACGATTTTAATAACAACAAAAAACAAAAATTATTAGTAACAACAAATAAGTCAGTCATTTAAAATCTATTTTATGATCTGCAATTATTTAATTTAGATCTTATTTTGAAAATTTAGCAAACGAAACAATTTATGAAATATTTGAATATCTTGATGTTTACGATGTTTATCATGGATTCTTTTATCTTAACAATCGATTTAAAAATTTACTTATTAATTTCAATATTCCTTTTCAAATAAATCTTTCAACAATATCAAAATCCGATTTTGAACTTTATAATAAAAATGTTATTAAACCAAATAAATATCGAATAAATATTCTTCGATTATCTAATCCATTTACAGTTGATATTATTTTTTCACCACCACGTATTATTTGTGATTTTATTCAACTTGAAAAATTAATTTTTGATAATATGAATTCAAAATATCTTAATAATATTCTTAAACATTTAATACATTTACCTAAATTACATTCATTAATTCTTTCTCCTATTGATTACATTCAAGATCCAAGTATTCTTTTTCTGCATATATTTCGTTTATCAAAATTAAAATATTGCAAATTAACATATCGAATAAAAGATAAAGAAAAAGCATTACCTATAGATTTTCATGGATGTAAACACAGTTCTATTGAATATCTTATGATTAATAGTTATTTTCGATATGAATCATTTAATGGTTTATTCAATTATCTTCCAAAACTTCGTCATTTAACAATTAATAATGTTGTTGGATCGGATAATTCACAGATAGAATATTATCCAATTGTATTAAAAGATTTAAAATATGTTTCATTTAAACTTAATTCGATTCATTTCTACCAATTTGAAGAGTTAGTTAAAAACTTCTTTAATCATATTGAAATTTTACAAATATCAACATTTGATGCTCACACATATTCACATGGAAGACAATGGGAAGAATTAATTTTATCTTCAATGCCAAATTTACGTATTTTTGATTTAAAAAATGATTATTCTGGAATAATGCAAAATTTCTTCTATATTTGTTCAAGTGGTCAATTTGCATCGAAGTTTTGGACTGAAAAACAATGGTTTTTTGCACATCAACATGATTCACACGACAAATCTTATAATGGAATATTTTATTCAACAAATCCATATCGGTAACAAAAAAATATGAATCTATTTTTATGAAATAGTGATTGGAAGTAATAAGTCGAATCTATCCCAAGGTCAATAAGTGCATTTTTCGTGCCTACAGGTGTGTGTGTAATAACCCTCAATGTGTCGGTTTTCCTAGGAAAGGCAGGATAGCTTGTAAATGTATGCTTTACAATCGGAAGCAGAGTAAAAGATCAATGGGTACATTTCCGTAGCAATGGAGGAGGGACATGATTGTTAATCAGTTGATTGCCATGGGCATCGGCTTCAAATATACGTTCTGACTAGGGATCAACTTTTTTTTTAGCCCCGGTCGGGATGTTTCTGATTTTTGACACTCAATCTTGATCTGGAAAGAAAAGTTTCAGCATTTTTTAGGTCTGAATTTGGAAAGAATCTTTAATACTCATTTTTTTTTATTGATTCAGTTGACGAATGCGATTCTTTTTGAGTGTTTAAACTGAATTTACGTTCGTTCATATAGTGGATAACATATCGTGCTAATTCAGTAAGATAATAACACTGCGAAATAAATGCAGCAATAAGATGATATTATATATGTTTGATTTATCAAAATCAAACTAAGAACAAACTAATCTAATAAATATATAAAGAAGAATGTTTGTTTGTATGTTTGTCTGTTTGTTTGTTCTTTATACATTTGGACACCGCAGGAGCCAGTGCAACCAAACTTTGCATGATCTTCTCTTTTGTCCAGAGGAAGGTCGGGAACCTCTTTTCGATCGAAAATTTTGACCTCTACGGTACTTAATAACCCGATTGTTGGATCACTACAGTAGGTGTTCCATACAAAATGTCCATGCATGTGATTGTTTTCGCAATAACTCGAAAACGAAGATCTAGAATTCTTTTAAGTGGGGGCGATTTTGGTCAAAAAACATCTTTTATACTTCGTTTGAGGCAGTGTCGATCCATTTTTTGGGTCTTTTCTGCTGGAAAAAGCCGAAAAGTTTTTGAGAATAGGGTCAATCGTCCCCAGCGCCTTTCCCTCTCAATCCGCCGTTGGAAATGGGGTATTCCGCTCCAGATTTTGAAAACGTTTTTGTTTTTCGCTTGCCAAAAGCAAAAAACGCCTGTTTTTTCCTGTGTTTTTCAGGAAACTTTTCGTTAACCCATCGTCCGAACTAGGATGACCACCAGCCTCCAGCGAGAAAACGGGTTGCAGACTCAAAAATCCGCAATTTTTGAACCTTACTTGCTCCCCTAAGAGCCACATATAGAAAATCTCTGTCGTGATTTGTAAGACAGGATGACGTTCACTTTTCTCGCTCTGAACTTCAACGCGCATTTTCAATCGCGTTTCAGAAAGTATTAAGAAGAACAAAAATTTTAAATTTAAAAATATCAAAATCTTTTTAAAAAGTTCCAGTTTGTCATAAATGAAATGTTGAATTTCTCCGAGCAATGCCAGGTACTTCGGCTAGTCTGGAATAAATGAATTTTCGATCTTGTAAGAAAACCATCACTACACTGAGTAAAGATTTTAACCTATTATATAGGTCAATGTCTAAATCATTTAAATGTGTTTTTTTATAGCCACATACATTCTATATTGGTAAATTTATCCATATTTTTAACTCGCTTTTAAGCGAAGTTTTTTCCTGGTAGTCCTGATCCCGAGCATCTCTAGTCAAGGTGTAGATTTTCTTGATAAAAGGAGAGAGACGAAGGACAGCTTGTTGATGTATGGTTTATCATAGGACTCAGGATAATAATTCGACAAGTACAGTTTCATAGCAATGGTGGACAGATGATTGTTTACCAGTAGATTGCCATAGGAATCGGCTTGAAAAATACGTTCTGACAATAGACGAAATCGTTAGTCATTAGATGCATTTTTATAGCAGCCAGAGCTATCAATTCTTCATTTAGATTGCATTGTTATTTTAAGGGTATCCCTTCTCTCTGTTTTTACCACATACAGAGCAGTAGAAATAAGGCAACCCATGTTCGAGGAAAAAAGATGTTAAAGTGAGTTTTCGCGGTTTTTTTAGCCGAAAACCTTGGTTTTTCGTAAGGTCATATTCAAGTATATTATGACCCTCACGAAACTTTATCCGATAGGGCTGAAAATTTTTTGAAGATACCTAAAACTACATTTCAGAGGTAATTTTAAGTTTTTCTTAAAAACTCGCTTCCTTTTTTTGTATGAAGGAACGACATAATGGTTCACTGCCTACAAGATTCTGTAAATTCGAATAGGAAATTCAAAAACAGAAACGGTCGATTTAACCACTCGAGAATATTTCCAGATATCTATAGCAAAAATTCCAACTCGATCGGATAAAGTTAAAGAAGGACCGTAAACAACCTGATTCGGTAAAACTCGAGTTTTCCGCAACGCTAAAGAAAGAAAAGTACTTCGTTATCACTTTTGTAAAAATTAAATCGTTGGAATTCAGTAACTTTGTAACAATATAAGTTATTTTAAGTCAAATGACGTCTCTGATTGTTCACGACACTTAGGGCTATCATATCTTATATCCTGCTTAAAATCGAATTTTTAATCGAAAAAGAGAGAATACCCTTAAAATAATGTTATTGATTTATTTTAGACGAAAAGATTTTACATTTTATTGGCACCAGGATTACGAGATTAAATCACATGTTCGAAACTCTGATTTCAAGTCAGTTAAACATATGTATATCTGTGGTAAAAAACCTATCAACAATTCTGTTATTTATTGTCCAAATGTAACTGAATTAACAATTAAGAATTATTTTAAAACATATGATGATTCGATTTCAACAATTCTTAATCAAATTATTCCTTTAAAACAGCTTAATAAAATGGTTATTGATTGTGATAAGTTTTCAGTTGAACAGATTGTGAATTTAATACGTTCAACACCTAATTTACATACATTAAAATGGAATATTCAATCTATTAGTGAATCTAAATTAAAATTAATTCAACAAAGTGAAGTATTTCGATACGTATCAAGTACAAATAATATTCAAAATTTACAACTTCTTCATTGTTATTCATTCGATGAAATTCAATTTTTTATTAATTTATTTCCACAATTAAAATATCTTAAAACTGGAATATATAGAAAAGAAATAATTCCAATTATACAATGTCTATTATCAAAAATGCATCATTTGTTTTTCTTATGTATTACAAATATCTCAAAAACATATTTACAAAAATTACATGGTTTAATTAAATCAGAAAATTTACTTGATGATTATTTTATTAAATTTATTGATCATAATTTGTATTTATGGTGGTAGAAATTGTATAGTCGTTTAGGACATGTTTTATTGTTTTGTATATAATTAATAATTACTTTTAAATAAACGAGAGACATTAATCTTTAACTCAACTATCGCAAATAAAACGTATAATTATATTTAAGAAATATTTCGAATTGTTATTTATCACAATTTATAAGATAATATAACGGTTGAGCTTCTATAGAATATCAATATAAAAGTTCTTTATCCTTTTATGAGACGTGGATAACGATCTGCAAAATGGTCTTGGTAGTTTGTTTGTTTTTACTAAGAACTAAACTAGACCACGCTTTTGATATTTATTATTCTTTTATGAACAAAGATCTAAACAACAACATTTTTTTATTGCAATCTCTACATATATTCCCTAGTGACCTTAGTTTTGATCTGAAGAATCGAAATTATACAATAACTTGTCTGGTTTTATTGACTATGTGGATCACAATATTTTAATTTTTCAAGCACAATTCTCATAAAACAATTAAAATTCGAGAAAAAAGTCGATTGCTGAGAAGCAAGAGTTGGGATCAGTAGATTAATTTATATTGTATTCAATACAAGTCACTGTATTTTCTTTAGGTTCACACACCCTCATCTCAATTTTGAAAATCTGATCTAGACTCGATTCTAATTTAAACCTTTCTTGCCTGCGGCTAAATCTGACGATTTGGAAGGATAATTCGCTCAACAACATCAATCTTGTGATCCCTAGTACACATAGGAAAAGTTTGAACCAAATCCAACAAACATCTTACGAATTATAGTGTGTGTCATCACGTTATATATTCAGCGAACATTAAAAAGTTATTTTTTGATAAAGACTAGATTGAGATTGTTGATTTGAAGTCTACACTAGATAGGGTTTGAATTGATATAAAATCTATTTCTAAATGTCTCATAGTTCAAGAGAATCAAATTTTTATAAAATGGTCCCTATAGGAACTAAAGGGCAAGAAAGGGTTAAATCGAACTAGAAATCAATACCACATGATGAGATCCTTTGTCGGATCGAAACACGTCGTGGTGGTTTCTATACTCACCCCAAGCATCTTGGCTGCTACAATGATACTTAACAACATTTTTATGAGTTCTATCCGCCTACTCGGATCGGATCAATATTTTAGGTAATGCAGCAAGGACCTTTCTGAAACGTGATATTTTAATGAATGACATTACTATTTCCAGGTGCTCTAGTTTGTCCTCATCTATAGCTTCTTTGTGAGTGAACGCATTGTTAGAGCTCCACAGCAGCATGTTCCGTGGTGCAAGTTGTCTTTCTTTGAACGTGATGAATCGACTAGGGTGTGTATATGGGTGTACGGTGTGCGTGTAGCTCATTTCTTTCCCCCCCCCCCCCAAACCTGTACCCATACCCACACCCACACCCAGAAAAATCCGGGAAGCGAATTGCATTACTGGCTAGTAGCTATTTTTCACTATACTGGACCTAAGTTTTTGATCTTATTAGACCATAAAGAACTTCAGGAAGTCCCAATGCCCTGTAATATACGGTAAATATATAATACTGTATAACTATATAATAACTAATGAATATAACTAAATCCTCAATTTAAAACATATTTTTTACTGATATGGTTCCATTAATAATTTTCACCTATTTTACGTACTTTGTGATACCTGCTGCTTAGGGTGGGGTGTGGGTGTGTGGGTGTGGGCGTGAGTGTAGGCGTTGATATTTTCTCATCACCCACACCCAAGAGAAGAAATAATCTACAATTGTACTTTTTTCATTCTTCATATAAACAAAGTAGTAGGTTATCATTTGCCCTAAATTGTGGTTCCCTAAATTACTCCCTAAATGAGTTCCCTATTTATGTCCCTAAATCAAATAATAAATTTCTGGTGACCAGAAAAGTATGTTTTCATGCAATCTGAAGATGATGGTGAAGAAAAGAGTGTGTTGTTATATATATTATGATCAAGAAAATCCCTAAATTAAGCTGGTCCCCAGAAGTTTTTTGATTGATTCAACAGCCACAAATAGGGAACTTATTTAGGGAACCACAATTTAGGGCAAATGATAATCATTCAAACAAAGTGTGCCTAATTTTTTGTGTACGGCAGTAAGTCTTGTATGCGAGTGTGATGAACTTCAATTGAATGGACGACGAATTGTTACTGTTCGATTGCTGAACCATTCAACTAAATTGGGTTTTGCCTTTTTAATCCATTGAATATTAGCACGAATACGTTCGATTGTTGCTTGAAATTCGACACTCACTGTATTAGTGGTCTGTTCAAAGAATCGTTCAAATTCGCCCAATTGTTGTTCGGTATTAAATCGTTCTGCGACATCTTTGATAAGATTGGCAAAATTGATTGATTCACTAAATTCTTTAAACAATTGTCGCCATTGAGAACGTACAAAAGTCCAACATTCAGTTTCAGCAATGAAATTTCGACATATAGTTCGTATGCCGATGAGTCCATCTTGTCGTCGAATAATATTCAATTGAGAATCGAGATGAATTTCGAGTAAATATCGAATTAATTCTATGTCACGTGTACATGCTAATGCTGATTGTATTCTAGCTTTTTCTTGTGGATCATTTGATTCTCGATATTGACGAAGGAGAAAATAAAATTCCACTCGACTACCTAAACGAATAATAGTACAATAGACAAACGAACGATGATTAGGTTCGATTGAATTATTCGATGGTTGATTGAACCATGATTGAAAGAGTGATTGAGCATGTCGAACGCAATCATCTAAATTGTAATGACATGCTGTCGATATAATCAAATTTCGATGAAGTGTATCGAGCCATTTCTCTGTCATATTCGATGATTGTGATTGTTGCCAACCGAGTTGAGTGTAAATAGGAAAGATCAAATCGATAATATACGATTGAAATTGTTCGTACAGAATGATATCTGCACTTTTTGATGCAATCATCTGTTCGATGTAGGAGAAACTGGCAATAATACGATCCCACACAATATATTCAAATTCAGAATGTACATAACTGAGTAAATCGAATACGAGAGATGTTTGAAGAATATCTGTTAAAAATAGAAAAAAAAAAGAGCAAATGATATCGCGTATCACTGAGATGCTTACTCGTTCGAGCCAAATTAAAAGCATCATCGACAAGACCAGCTCGTTCAATTACGGTAAATTTCTCGTGATCAATATTCAGTTGTTCAATAATCATCTTCCAATTTCGTTCATCATAATTCGTACGAAAAAATCCCAATAAATTCGGATTGGCTAAAAGCCATTCATTCGATTGTACGTTTATATCCATGGTTATATTCATCTGTGGTCGATTGAACCAGATGATGTTTGATGAGAACTTAAATTGAAGTGGAATATACCATAAATACTTATGTGGTGATGGAGATGGTTGTGCTTCTGAATCGAACAGGAACTGATGTTGAGTCACTGTGATACGTCTAGTAGTATAATCGCGTATAACTTGAACATATGGATAACCCATTTGATTAGTCCACGTACTCATAATCATCTCAAGAGTTGTATTACTTGGTAATTGTATATTATCGACAGACATTTGTTCATTCAATGCTTGCCAGAGATCAGTCTGTTTTGCAGTCGAATACAAATGACGTTGAAGATATTTGGTAATACCTTTATTAAAAGTCTTATCGGACATAAAATTGTTCATCATTCGAAGTAACGAAGAACCTTTCGAATAGGTAATGGAATCGAAAATACTTGTTAGTTGATCATTACGTGTAAGTTGCATATTAACTGGATGTGAAAATGATAGAGCATCATTTTGCATAACGGCAAGCCATCGTTGAATAATTAATTGTTGATATGAATTCCATTCTGAGTGAACTTTATTTGTACCAACGAATTGCATCCATATTGCAAAACCTTCTTTAAGCCACAAATCATCCCACCAAACAGGTGAAACGAGATTACCAAACCATTGATGAGCAAGCTAAATGAAAAAAAAAAGATAACAGAAAGAACAAAATCATAAAAATGAATCTTTTGTGTTTCACTTCATGAGCAATGACGGCTGCTACACCTTGTTTGTTGGACGAAGATGACGTACGATTATTATAGAAAAGTCGTGTTTCACGATAAAGAATACATCCGAAGTTTTCCATTGCACCTGAACAAATAGGATCAGAGATAGAAGATTTTTCTCAATACTTTACCAGCATTAAAATCAGGTATAGCAATATGATCACATTTAGGTAATGGATAATTAATTTGATATTGTTCTTCAAAATCACGAATCTTTTGTGTTGCTATTTCAAGTGCATAATTCAAATTATCTTTTTTCTCTGGTTGAGCACATATACTTGTTGTAATATTTCTAAAACGTCCCGTATTATTTCGTGTCAAACAATCAAAATCAGCTACGACTAGTGCCAGTAAATACGAACTCATTGGTACAGTTTTTTGAAATTGTGTTAATATCCAACCATTCGATTGAATCGTACTATTCTCAATAGGCATATTGCTCCATGCTCGATATTGTGATTCATGTTCGATTGTAACGGTAAACGTTGCTTTGAGAGCGGGCTCGTCAAAACATGGCAAAGCACGTCGTGCTCCAATCGGTTCCATTTGTGAAGCAACTAAATATCGTCGAACTTTATTCGATGATCGTACATAAGAACTAAGATAGAAACCATTCGTATCATTTTTTAATTCACCTACATAATTCATTGTTAAGATTGGTTGTTCATTTACTTTTAGTGCTCGATTGAGTATAATGGTGAAAAAGTCGAGATCTTCATTGAATGATGTTGATATTACAGATACACCGGAGGTTATCTCAATTGTTTCGCGCACCATAATGAAACGTTTGTGTAAAACGATACGATCTGTCGGCTGAATCACATTGAGATGAATATGAACACGTCCATCAAAGATAGAATAGCGAAGATTTTCATTGGTAATATTCAAATAGGGTTTAACATAGAGATCGTAATGAATTGGTACGATAGTCGACGGTAAACGATGACTGACAATGGATGATTGATTGTTTGCACGAAAGAAGGCAGTGATTGAACCGAGATTTGCTTGATTCCATGCAATGTTAGCATTGATTCTATCCATGGATAATTGAAATTGACGAGATGTAGTACCTTTATTCATAATTGAATCAGCAAATGTTTTGAATTCATCTCGTTGTCGAACAGTAATAAATCGACTCGATACAGCTTCGATAATTGTACCTAAATAAGTCTCTGATTTTCCCCATTTTTCAAAAAGTTTGAACCAATGATCACGAATCCAATTCCAAGCAATTTGATTTGCTCGTAGTGAACGAGCAATATTGGCAATAGATAATGGCGCATCTTGATCACGAATGACGGATTCATTCGACAAATGTTGATCGAGAAACCAAACAATCAACGACAGATCTTCTGTGCAGGCGAGACCTTTTAGTAGATTCAATGTTTCACTAGCAATTAACTCTGTTTGAAGACGAGTCCATAAAAAGTTAAATTCAGCTCGTGAACCTTTACGAACAACTGTACAATAGACGATCGAACGTAGATTAGCTGGAATTTGATTGAGAGTAGGATTTACATTCCAATGACGATAGGCACTGCGTGCTGTTTCAATGCATTCTGGATGATCGTAGTGGCAAGCAGCCGATACAATTCTCGGTTGCAATAGAGTTTGAAGCCATGCAGTCGATGAATCGATCGGTGTCCATTCGATCTTGTTATAAACTGGAAGGATCAATTGTAAAAAATAACGTTGCACATCAATAAGAATACCACGATCGGCAAGTAATTCTTCTTGTTGATACATTGCGGAGAGTGCTGCTATCCATGGTATATAGTCCGTTTCACTCTTTAAATATCGAATCAGTTCATAGGCATCTATTACATCGATTAGACCTGCGCGTGATAAGGCAAAAGCATCATCGATCAGAGCACCTCGATTGATGGTCGGAATACGTGTGTGAGCACTTTGAAGTTGAGTAACAATCAGACGAAAATTTTCTCGATCATACTTCGTTCGATAAATGGCGAGATAATTCGGATTGGCCAAGATCCAATCTGAATCAGCAGTGTTGATATTCACTGTGAGAGATGTATCGTTGAGCCATACAATATCACTACTAGTCGACGTCTGACGCTTATTTACTTGAGAAAATGTACGATCGAAATATTTAAATGGAATCCACCATTTGTGTTTTTTGCTTGTCGTTAGAAAAAGACTATAAGGTTGTTGGCTAATCACCATACGGCCTTCAGTCTTATAAATCCGATTGACTTCAACAATCGGATAGCCGGGTTGTCGTGTCCATCCATCCATAATCCGTTCAACGTTGATTGTATTATTTGTAGCTTGACTCAAATAGGTCCACAAATCGCGTTGCGTTGCCGAACTAAAACATAATGCTTTCAAATATATTCGAACACCACGTTGAAATGTTTCAGCACCTAAAAACATCGACATCATACGAATGACTGTTGCTCCTTTGCTATAAGTGATTGAATCGTACATTTGAAAAATATCTGCTAAATTTGTTGAATCAATACTAATCGGTCGTGATGTTGGCAATGAATCAGATTCCATAAATGAAAAAATCTTTTCAACAACAAATTGTTCTTCTCGCCTCCACAAAGGTTCGACAAAATCGGTTGCCAATGTTTCCATATAACTGGCAAAGCCTTCTTTCAACCATCTATATATGATCAAAAATTCGATAAAAAATAATGTAAAATAAGGACTCACAATTCACCCCACCAAGCTGGTGAAACCAAATTACCAAACCATTGATGAGATATTTCATGAGATATTACCATTGTGATATATTGTTTTCGTGAAGCTGATACGGTTTTTTCATCGAAAAACAAGCCCACTTCACTGTAGATCAACAAGCCTAGAAAGAGAGGAATTCGACTTCACTTCATTGTTTGTTTCGATAAAAAGAAAATTCTGCTTACCATAGTTTTCCATAGCACCTCCACCAAAATCGGGAACAGCAAAATGTTCAATTTTTGACAATGCATAATTAATATCAAAATATGTATTGAAAAATTCCAAGACTTTGTAGGCTACTTCATCGGCATAGGCCAATTGTGGAAGAATATCAATACGTCCACATACTCTCGATATGATGTTCTTTGAACCGATAAGGCGATCGGGTCGACAGGCAAAATCGGATATGGGTGCTATAATGAGTGCCAGTAGAAAGGTGGACATGTTCAATGTTGGGCTAAAATGTGAAAGTATTCGTCCATCGCTGAGTATTTCGGTTCGATCAATTGCTCCATTAGACCATACAGCATACGAAGAATCATGAATGACACTGATTATAAAAATAGCTTTACGTGCAGGTTCATCAGCACACGGAAGAACACCTCGAGCATAGGTTGGTTCCATTTGAGACGTTAGAAAGATACGTTTTTGTCCGTTGATATCAACATAGTCACTTATGTAGAGACCGTGCAAATTACGAGTAATATCACCCTGATAGTCTATGCGAATTGTATAGGTAGTTCCCGATGTAAAGGCAGACGAAAAATTCAATATCATAAACTCATTATAATCATCATAGGACCACGAAAGAAATATGGGTATCGAACTGGAGGATGAATTGACAATGCTTATACTTGAATTGTTAATGGATAAGTCCGTCATGTGCACAATTATTTGATTGGTAGCTTTGGTGCACATGAAAGTGTAGAGAAGATTGCCTGCAATGAGAGAGAAAATATCGAACGTCCACTTTAGAATCACATGTAAAGATTCTTTTTACCTGTAAATGTTTCATCATTAAGATTGGGTGTAAGGGTCAATCTATAGAATAATTGTTGTAGATTGTCAGGAATGCGTTTAACAGGTGGCAAAGATGAAACGGTAGTTGTCGTCGTTAATGTTATCGTTGATTCATTTCCGAAACTACTTCGACTTTTTTGACTAACACCAAAATAGATGGTCAATACAAGTAGAACAATTAAGATAGCACTAAATACGAGTACCACAAGCCAAAAGAGTTTCTTTGGTATTTGATAGGTACTTGTTCGAACAGGTTTTGCATGCATTTCGTCAATATTGAGATTTTGCATCTATATTTATTTTCATAGATATAGAATATTTTATAACGTTTTTCCTACTATAAAACTCAAATCAAACTTCGACAAATGGGAATGAGAACAGACAACAATGAATATTATTTACTATATGTTGTCCAAGATGCACACATCATCATTACTATCAAATGCCTGTTATTTGTCTTTCTATCGACCTATTTGTTTGTTAAATAACGTAAAATCTATATAAATACATTTCATTATTGAAATGGCACACGCGGCAATGTGATATTCAAGTAAGATAGGCATAAAGGTGATGAGACATTTACGATATCTTATTTAATAGTTTCTTTCAAAATACTTTAGATATTTATAGATTGGCGTGATGCACATTCGTCGAGCAAGAGATTAGCATATTAAAATGTCAATTTTCTATTGAATTTATGCAAAAAATCTCAAAATACACTGCCTAAGGATGATACTGATGAAATATTTTCTATATACTATATCTATCGAACAATTCGCAAAATGAGTTTACAAATATTTCTTTTTTTTTTTAAAGTTTTCTTTAATGCCTAAATTTCTCGATAGTTAGCTCTTACTATGAAAATTATCCACTTCTATTAATATTATAATTATATGCAGGCAAAAGATTTCTACACGTTGAGCTACATCTCGAAACCTTATACTTGTAGTGATCAGTTTTTCTGATTATAGAATATTTTTTATCATATTATGTCTAATTTGAAGAATAAAAAGCGAAAAATGAATTTCTTCCAAAAGTGGTAATTTTCGTGTTGATTCCCTCAGTTATAATCTATAAATACAAAATGATCTTTATAGAACAACTTCTTCATCATCATCATCATATTCCCTTATCTTTGTTGACTTTTCATGTTTTTTTCTCTTTCATTTATATATTTGCTTTACAAAGCATACCTTCACACAAGATATGGTTAGGTGTCAACTACTATATCCAATTTCGTTTTTTTTTCCAAAAGAGTAAGAAAAGTATTGTTGGAAGGTCTCTAATCTCTTATACATCCGGCTGACATACAATATGTTTGACATAAATATCAACGAGGAGAATTCTTCTATCCAAATTAAGCAAAATAATTGCGGAATAGTAGCTGAAGGACGATTCGCTGTTGATAGACTTGATCATATGATTTTGGTTCAAATTATTGATACCATAATTGCAACAGATGATGTTGAACAACTTCATAATCTTATTTCAGTTGTTCATGACTACTTCGGTAAAACTTACAATGCACGTGTTGTCGTGCGTTTCCCTGCAGCATTTGACAATAAGATCGATATGAACAATCCAAAATTGAAGAATAATGTTTCGACATTTATGGTAGCAAATATGTCTGATTTAAAATATGATAATGATGATTTAGTTCAATATGATCGCGAACAATACGTCTTAGTTACAGATAAGCAAGCAATTGTAGTTTATGCTAATCAAATCATGATAATTATGACTACTGAAGCATTTTGTGCTAAAGATTGGGATGAAGAAGAAGCATACAATCGCATTCTTTCGGCATCAGCTGTCGCCATGATTATGGATAAGGTGAATAAAGTTCCAGTTGGTTTTGGACGAATATTTATGATGCGAAACAACAATAACAATGAAGAAGAAACGCTTGGCTACTTATCCGATGTTGCTGTAAATATTCAACATCAAAATAAAGGTTTGGGAAGAGTTATAGTTAATTATCTTGTTAGTGTCTACATTGGCCAAAATGCTAGTCAACGATCGACAAATGGATCGATTTGTCTAATCTGTGGCAAAAAAGGCAGTGGAGCCATATCCGCACCAAAATTGTATCGAAGTTTGGGCTTCGAACATCTGGATAACATCGGAAATCGGATTGCCATCTTAACTTCTGACAAATATTATTTCCGTCGATCTCTGCAACGATAACGTTTTATCCAAAATGAGTCTCTTGCAATGGCAAAATAAATCTTTCGATTGGATTCAAAATTGTCATAGGTTAACTCGAAATATATGCCAATACACTAGAAAAAGGCTTGAAATAAAAAACAGAACATAGCATATCATCATAAAAAAGAGAGATTATTCTGTAGAGGTTGAAACTTCTGTATAGAATTCAGTCTTTTGAATACTATGTCGACATTTACATAAGGGTGTGGGTGTGGGTGTGGGGTGGGGGTGGGGGCGTGGGTGTGGGTGTGGGTGGGTGTGGATGTGTGGGTGGGGTCTGGGTGGGTGTGGGGTGGGTGTGGGTGTGGGTGGGTGTGGGTGGGTGTGGGGGCGAGTGGGTGTAGGGGTGTGGGCGTGGGTGTGGGTGGGTGTGAGTGTGGGTATGGATGTAGGTGTGAGTTAAGTCAACAGTTTTACCCACACCCACACCCACACTCACACCCACCCACACCAACACCCACACCCACCCCCCACCCCCACCCACACCCACACCCACATCCACATCCACATCCACACCCACACCCACATCCACATCCACACCCACACCCACACCCACACCCTACTAACCATTATAATCTCGAATGAGTGTTGTTTCAAGATCGATTGGCTCTTTTTAACTGAATATGACTTCACTACATGTATCGAATAAAAACTCGATGTTAAAAAATTTCAGATTCTAGTCTCTCAGAGTGAAGAAAAAGAACTGAGGGAAAAATTATAGAAAGTTTCTTACATCGATATGGTAAGCAGGTCTGCGTCGAGGCATGCCGTGGGCACGAACACGTTTAGAATTTCCTTAGTCTCACTGAATCTTACTCAAAGCCACAATATGGGCTTAAATGCCATTTGACAATCGAATATGTTGCCTCGTGAGACATAAATTATGTATGATTTTATCTATTCTTGTAGTGGGCCTCGAATCCTTCAAGAAGCGTTCTTTTTTCGGAACGAGAGGATGTCTTATATATTTCCTATATTTTTAGTGAAATCCTATGAAAATGTTGTCATTAAAATCGTATATATTCCTATGTAGCCGCAAAAGACCGCTACGAAGCCTGAAAATTAAAAGACAGCAGATAATACGACAGAGTGTATATCCCAATATCTTTTTCCCTCGACTTATATTTTTTCTGAAATGAGGCATGATTTTCACTTATAGATTTACAAAAATCCCAGAGAAGACAATGAAATGTTTGTTTCTCAGCCAATTATAACGATAACAATTGTTCTTGATACATTTTAACAGATGGATGATTTGGTGGTAATGATTGCAAAGCAATTTCAAGCGCTAATTCAAAATTATTCTTTGCTAATTCAATATCATTATTTATTCGATGAACACTGCCAATATTATTATAAGTTACAGCTAAATCTGGATGATTCCATTTAAGTGTTTCTAACTGTATATCAATTGCTTTTCGATAGTTATACATTGCTTCAGCATACCGAAATTGATAATAATGACTTGTCCCAATATTATTATATGTTAAAGCTAGAGCAGAATGAAGAGATGGTAATGATTTAAGTTGAAATTTTAGAGCTGTTTCGAATTGAACCAATGCTTGTTGATACTCTTGTTTATCACAATAGATTGTTCCAATGTTATTATAAATCGTTGCTATTAATGAGAAGTCAGCATCTTCTGGTCGTATTAATGCACATTGAAGTGCTTTTTGGTAGAATTCTAAAGCATGTATAGTGTCATTCATACAATTATATGCCAGACCCATGTTATTAAAAATATTGCTCTTTAATGAATCATTTATTGTTGAAAACAGTGAAGCTTTCTCGAGATTTTCTAAGCCCAAATGATATTGACCATAATTTATCTGGGAAAGACCAAAATTTGAATAAGCAATGCCAATATCGGGATGTTCAGGCGGTAAAGATTTTGAATAGATTTCAAGGCCGCGTTTAAAATTATCAATAGCTTCATTATAACGACCAAGGTCATTATTAATTAAACCAAGATTTACATATAGTTTTCCGGTTCGCGGATCATTTTTTGGATAATACTTTAAATGTAAATTAAGTGCACTTTTCACATGTTTCTCAGCAACTAAGAAATAAACCGATATGTATGTGAAATCCATTTAAAACAATAATGAGTTATTTCTTTCCTTACAATAAATCCAAGATCTTAAAAAGTACACCATAAAAAGGGTTCCGTATCAGATCTACTATAGACTCCTGCAAAAGAAATTTCACACTAAACCTTTTCACCAAATTAAAATAAGGTTCTTCAAAGCGTCTCGTATCAAACTTTTTACCGAATATAATTAGGTTGCGTACCAAAGGTTCATACCGATCAGTACATATGTAAAATTAGTCTTATCTACGTACTGCTATACTATAATTCCTATATCTAACTCCTATTTTCTATATCTAAATCCTTATGACTATACTGACTCCCTTTTTCTATATCTAAATTAGTATAACTACTTAGGTCATACCAAAAGTCTTTACGAAATTATATCAATTTCTTATAGAATGTTTGAAGAAATTTTCTTTTTATATAGACTAATAGTAAGAGCAAAACTCTACATTTTTACCCTATTTGATCATTATCCATCTAATATCATAATAATGAAATTTCGATGGGAACTATTTTTGTGTAAACATAACTAGCGAGTGAAGCAAATTAAATGTTTCAAGCACTTAATACGCTGTATTAAAAAAACAAAATATACTACAGATGCAGCGTGAAAAACTGATGGCCAAAACCTCTAGAAGTTTTCTCAAGTTCTGGACTCAGCTGTTTCTCGTCGTTATTGATCCCTACAACTATATCCTCACACACATGGGCTAATACATATAAACTTGTAACTGCATCCGTCACTTCCCTATCTCTCTTTGTCTTCATCTCCACAAAATAGAGAGTGAGGTCATGAGGGCAAGAATATAGCAGTTAGTTGTTAAATAAAGGAGAAGTAGGAAGCATGGAAAGGAATATATCCTTACATTCCTGAACTCCAGAACAGAATGGAGTCTCGGAGTCCTAGTGTTTGCTGTTTCTCGCTTGGCATGCCTAGATTTGACAGGAAAATGAAAGTTAAAAGCTCTTGTCCGTGTTTTTGTCTGTATGAAATAGTTGACAGAACAAAATCTTTCAGTTAAAGCAACTTACCATTAAATTTACCGCAATCTCGATAGCCCATACCGACACCAACGTAACGTGCAATAACAAGATCAAATTGTTCTAGTGGTAATGGATTTTCCCCTGATAAATTTGGTACTTTATTTAAATATTCAACTGCCAATGCATAACTCCCTGTTAAACTACTTAGACTAGCTAAATTAACATATGTAGACATTGAACCATGTTGATTTGATATGTTTAAATAAATTTGCAGTGCATTTTCATAATCATAAGCAGCCCTGATATAATTACCTTTTCGAACATTTAAAAAGCCGCAATTGTTTAATATAGAAGCAAATTCTTCTTCTGTAAGATTAACTAATTTTTTTTCGTTTTGTTCAAGTAATAAATCGAAATATTTTTCAGCTTTATCATATTCACCCATTTCAGATAGAAACACACCAAGTGTATTAAGGGATGGACGTTTACCGATATAATGTCGGCGTTTAAATTCTAATAAATCGTTTACATCTTCATCGTCATTACTTGCCAATGTTAAATCAATAACCCATTGATTATTCTCTTCCTCAACAGAATCAATACGAAATATACCACCCATCGAAAGAAGTATTTCATCTTCAGCACTATCGTCAATTCTAACATATGGTAATGTGGTTATCTTGGTATCGACATGAATTTGAAATAAAATAGATTCTAACTGTTCATCCTTATTTTTTTTACCAGCAAATACTTCAGCTAAATTACGATTTGTTGTTGTTGATAGAAAGCTATTCATAGCTATTAGCCCGTTTACGTTTTGTTTTATAACTTCAAGTTCATTTTGGTTCAATTGTTGTCCACGATAGACTGTTAATATTGGATTTTGAATTGAGTGCTGTTGTTTAGCATAGTCAGATGCTATCAGTTGATGTAAATCAGTAATAAATGAACGAAATTTAAATATGACATCAATATTTTCTGTACGAAATGCTCGATTTAACAATCTATATACGAATGAATCACAAGTATACCAGTAAAGAGCTTGTTTACAATTATAATATTCTTCAAAATCGTCAATTTTTCTTAATTCACTTTCATCATCAGTATAATATAACCGACATTCATCTATCATTTCTTTACATGCCCCATTAACATCGTTACCATCGTCATATGGTATTTTAATTAATATATCTGTTAATAATTGATACCACATAAACGTAGCACTTTCTTTACTTAAGTCTCTTGCTGTTTTGTCTTTTCGATTGTCAGTTATTTTGAATACACTTGTAATTAAATTTTCAGACGAAAAACGTTCATTCATATTTCTTTTATTTATTTGATGGTGAATGTATACTGGGCAGATGAAACGAATTTTTGTGAGTTACACACAAATACAACAGAAAAACAACAAGTTTTCTAATGATTAAAAAAGAAAAAGAAAGATAAATACATTGTTGACCGTAAATATTTATCTTAACACAACAGAAAGAGAAAATATGGTCTTATTAGTGACGACGCCACAGGGAAACTAAATATCCTTCCCTAATTTTTTGAAGTTGTACAGAGAAAGAATCAATAATCTTTTTCCGTAATGTCACAATAAATCGTTTTCTGAGTTGCAGAGGGCTTTGTTCAGTTTTCTATTGGTTGTTCACGACAACCACGCAAAACGCACTCTCTTTTCCTGTGACTAAACCACAATCTCAATAATTGCATCCCGACAAATGTGGAACTATAAAGTCCTTTTCTCTTTCATCTAACAAAAAACCACGTAATGATGAACAAGAACTAGAATTGAACGTTATTATTTTATCTTCTTTATCATTATCTGAATAATTGTAAGCAGCCACGATCGCGATTTCGTCCTTGCTTAAGGGACTCAAATTATAAAACTAAGTAGAGGACAGAATTATTTTGAGTCTCTGAGTAATTCTATTCATTATAAAAATTTTTATGCGTGACACCAATAGAAGAAAAATGAATTCTATATATACCCAGGTGTATCAATCCGGTAGCAGATCTAATCGGAATTCGGAGGACGAGATCTGTTGACGGATATGACGGTTGGATACCAATAAATTTCCGATCACTTCCTGCTGTCAGAATCGTTTATTATTCGGACTGTCAGATTCCGATGGGATTTTCATGCGATTCAATCAATCCTTGAATTTGTGACCCATCCTATATTGGGGTGTGGGTGGGCGTGGGTATGTGGGTGTGTGGGTAGGTGTGGATGTGGGGGTGTAGGTGTGGGTGTGGCTGTGGGTGTCGGTGTGAGTGTGGGGTGTGGCGTGTGGGCGTAGGTACGACAAAATAGCACAACACTACCCACACTCAAACCCACACCACACCACACCCCACCCACACCCACATCCTAAAGAATCGGTGGCTTCCTGCCGTGCATGGTTCACCCGCACGCTAAATTTAAATGTGTCATGATTTATTGTGTTGTGCGCTCCAGCACAAAAAAGTGTTGTGCCTTGAATGTGTCGTATATGAATTTGTCGCGTTCTGTCTGTCGACTATTCATTCACCGTTCTGTTATGCACACATAGCAATATATAAACAACGTGATTGAACGCACGAAAGATAAATTTTCAAAACATTCTTCTTTTCTACATTATTTCTCGATCATTTTTTAATCGAGAAAATGCCAATTTCGATCAATGATCGAGAGAGGACTACCCTGAAATGGTCTGGTGTAAATCAGACCGACTCGAGATCGACCAGATCTCAGGATATGACCCATCTGAATTATTCAGGATACGAACAAATAAATGAAAATAAATTGAAAAAAATCGAAATATGCTTTTCCAAAAGAACCAATGAAAAATGTGTCGGATGTACCGTGGTCTTGCTGGCGAAAATGTGTCGCAACGAGCACCACGTGTCGTGCTTTAATGTGTCGTGCATTGTGTCGTAAATCACGACACATCCGACACATTTTAACTTAGTGTGTATACTAGTCACACATAAAGACTTGAAAAGAAAGATAAAGTAGAAGTCGAAAAGAGCATGATTCATTTGCATTTCTTCCATCCGCTCACGTCG